GACAACGTTGTGGCAATGATCATGTTGTGAACTGCATGTAAACCGGGCATGCTTTGCAGGGAAGCACAAAACACTGCGTACCGTACAGTTGTTTTTTTCTATGTGAACACAGAAGCAGCAGACCACTGACTAGAGCGTTGAACAAATCGCTCGTTCTAAGTCCATCGCGGCGTTGTTGCTTGGCCCAGAACTAAACATGTAATTGAACATCAACATGTTGGCCAACAAACATCAAAAAAGCAGTCAACATGTTGGTCAACAAACGTGAAAAAAACAGTCAACACAAAAATGCACGCCTCTGGGGGCCCGTATGGCCATGACACCAAACACAATGGTTGACTGCTTGATAAAATAATCTGCGAATAATTTGTGCCACAACACTCAACAACTACTCAGTTTGGTTTGAGATTCTAATTGCAGATGGTCGAGAGACTTGTGCAAACATATATACTTCCAATCATAGCAGATTAAATGTGACATCCCCTATACAGATGATCCAGCAGATCTAGATGATTTTGCTTCATTTGTCTTTGTTTGTTGCTTCTCATGTCTTCTGTGGCAGTTGGCCGTCAATGGTGGTCAGACCTGTGGCGAATGTGTTCGGAAGACCACATATCCCATCAAGGAGCGGGCGGAGGTGGTCTTGAATTCGGCGACAGCCGTTGTTTTTGTACTGGACGTGGCTGATTGCACAAATCCATAAGACCCAGCCATCATCAGCCATCCAGTCAGAGAAGTTACACGACATGACATACTCGACATTGGAGAGAAGAACCATGATTGGTGTCGCTGCAGGAGTCCATCATTGGAGCCTATGATGGTGTTGCATCTCAGGTGAACCCCAGCACTGGGGCACGTGCTGCAACTGGCCGCTTTGCGGCAACACCAACCTTTCAACATGAGTAGAGCTCCACTGAACCTCAAGGACGCGAGCAGAGCGCAGCACAATTGAGGATCTACAGGTTTAAATATAACTATAATAGTATTAAATAGTTAAGGTATATATGTACACAGGGTTATTATGGGATATTATGGGGACGCATTCAGGGTGGTAGTGTATGACAGCTGCTCCTGCTGCATCCCTTGATCAACGCACTTTCTGAAAGAGCCTGCGACGGGCCTTGACGAAACAACAAGAACGCTGGGATATAGAATCGTAGCTGCTAGGCTGCTAGCCCACATTAGGGTCAACAGTCCTTGCATTGGCATGGACTGCAGCCAACTTCTGCATCCCTGCGCGAAATTGGCGCACTGGCTCCTGGCATGGCAGGCATGGGTATTGCAGAACAACGCTTTACCCCAGTCTCGCCTTTGTATTCTGTTCGTAAGGAGTCAGAGCATGCAAACCAAATCAACCGAGGTTGACAAATTTGCCAGTGAAGTTGCTTTTGTATTCTTAATGTGGCCGGCCCCACTCCCATGTCTGTGGACAACATGTTCCACGTGTTCTAGTGACAACCACATACCATCACATACCCAACCAAAGCCTTTATCGGCTCCCGGAGCGGCGTTCATTCGATGCACGTGCCGTCAGCCGTTGCCGGGGCTGGTGCAGCCGGTGGGACCGACTTGGTCCCCAAACTGCGGCAGCTTTTGCAAATGTCAAGAATAGCAAATGTCTTTTGTTAGACCTTTCTTCCTTTTCGTTTTTCTTTGATTCTAATAAGCGATTGCCTCCAACCTAGAAGCAACGGCCTCCACCCTAGCAGCGATGGCCTCCGACCTAATAGCGACCTCCAACATGACATCGGATGAAACAAATGAGAAATGCAGTGAATCAAGATGAATCAATGTTCTTATTCTTATGGCCTTTTGTGGTGCTGGCACACGGAAAACACTTGATTAGAAGTTTTCATGATGATTGATGTGCTCTGTCATAGCATTATTGCCAATGCTGCCGCTCTGTGTCTACTCGCGTGTGGCTCAGACCAGCCGCAAGTTTGCACTTTCGTCGTTAAAGAGGCGGAAAAGGGTATCGATGCAAGAAGCGCATTTGAAGCATGTTGCAATTTGACTTAAGGTGTTCCATGACAATAACATACGGTCTCTCAATGTCTCATAATTTGGACTTGCAACGTGCACCTTGCAACATAGCTTACTTGCCACAGATTTCAGCAGGCTGACATTGAACCAGAGCTAGCTGCTAGTGAGATGTAGTGAATAAAGATGCATCTGATTGTGTGCAAGAAAAGCTAATCAAGTTTCATTGAATGTGTATAGTTGGCATTCACGATCGGGCAGAGCTGCCGGAATCGGTGCCGCACAATGCACACTATATTTTCCAGTCGCCACACTTTACATTTTGTGCCGTATCATGTTGTAGCATATATACTGTACTTGCTTGCTCGAAGGAATACTTGGAGAGCAGGTCAAAGAAGTCCATGTTTGTTGCGTTCCTTATTGCACAATTTTGCGCCTCACGATCTGCATTGATCACACAAACACATACACAACTGTAAATTGAGCCATATGATGGGCAGTTCTACTTGTATACTGTACTATGACCATATCTATACCCAAGAAGCTACTATGGGCTCCTGGCATCGCTACTAGGAGCAAGGACGCTACTAGGGGCAGCAAGGGCGCTACTAGGGGCTCCTGGCCTTGCTACTAGGAGCAAGG